GAGCGAAAGCATGTCCTGCTCCTCTGAAGGCCAAGCAGAAAGTCCATGATAATAATAATTGATACTATTTTGATTGTTTAATTATTTCATCAGGACAACGTTAAACAGGTTGAACAACTTGTCTCCCCAGAGATTGTAGGAATATCCTGGAAGCTTTGTCTCAGGGTGCATCTCGTGCTGTGGGGATAGTGGCCAGCATTATTGTCAACATCATTTCCTTCCTGGCGCTGATAGCCTTTTTCGATTACATCCTCTCCTGGCTGGGTGGGATGTTTGATTATCCCCAGCTCAGCTTCTCGGTGAGAATTTTGAAACCTTTCACCACCTCTGACCGTGATTACCAATTACACTCTGACTGACTCTTTTGTTTTGTTTTGTTTTGTTTTGTTTTAGCTCATCTGTTCCTATGTGTTCATGCCTCTGTCCTTCATGATGGGGGTTTCCTGGGAGGACAGCTTCATCGTCGCTGAGCTGATTGGCATAAAGACGTTCCTCAATGAGTTTGTGGCTTATGAGAAGTTGTCAGAGTTAATAAAGAAAAGGACGGCGGGCGGGCCAGAATATGTAGACAATGTAAAGCAGTATGTTTCTGTAAGTCTTATTGATATTCTCACTATTTCTCTGTTATTTATTATTAGCTGTACAGTGTTCTGCCACACTTCTGGCAGTTTGTGATTTGTCCGTTTTCCTCTAGGTTCACTCAGAAGCCATTGCAACATATGCTTTGTGTGGATTTTCCAACTTTGCGTCCCTGGGGATGTCTGTTGGAGTGTTGTGCGAGTTCCGCTTTACAAGCTCTTTGGAAGTTTATGATTTCAATTCAAAACCCAGCTGTTAAATAACCTTGAAGGATAGATGTTGTTGAAAAATATCAGTTGCGACACTTTTACAATGACGTTTTAAAGTTAGAAGTTGAACAAATATGAGCTCCAACAACAACTTTTTGACAGAGATCCTGAATTTTTAACTTTCTTTACTTGCTTTAAACCTGACATTTMGTCTTCTCTTTATAATTATATTTTTGTTTCTGTCTGAGCATGCTTTACTTTGTTACCTCTTCCAGCTAAATGCTGTTCTTTCAGCTGCTATGGCTCCAAACAGACAATCTGATATCTCCAGCTGTGGTCTCAGAGCTCTGATTGCTGGAAGTGTGGCTTGCTTCATGACAGCTTGTATTGCAGGTAACCCTCATTTCAACATATTGCAAACTGCTCAATTTCAACTTGTGATTTTAGATTACGGTCATTTGGGGGTTGTTTTGTTGTCATTTTATATTCGTTTTATCGTTCTTTTAGGCTACTAGACATCTCAAGTRCTGCTGCTGAGTAAAGAAATAACAGCACAAGAGTCATCTTAGATAAGTAACATAGAAMCAGGGTCTTGACACCAAGTCAGAACTCACTGATAACAAGTCTCAAGGGCTGCATGTAGGCACTGAGGACATGGAAGGAATAGTCAGACTAAGAGTTGTTCTTTAAACACTTTTGCTCTTTTATGGCTTAATCTGWAATGGGTTGTTGTGTTGCAGCAGCTACGTAAAGACATTTTCACTTCAATGTGTCAAAGTTGTCCTCCGGCAGGACACAAAAGACACTTAGAATATTATATCACCAAAAATATATATWTGTTTTTCATCTTAAAGTGGACACATCATGCAAAATCTACTTCTTTAGCCATTAARTACATTTTGTYATGTATTTGGAGTGTCTAGGMGTGCAGAAAATGTGAATTTAGTCTCTCYYGGTGCTGCATATAGCTGTTGTWTGGTTCATATTTTTCAACCTGTTTCTGTTATGTTTTCTGRAAAAAACTATTTGCAACAGAATTTCTAAATAKTGTCTGAAYTTAACTAAYCAGTTTGGTAGTCTTCATTMAYCTCTGGCTCTGSGTCAGACTCTGGTTAAAACATRTAAGGCTGGACRGACACGTCTTCCCTTGTTGACATCTTTTAAYTCATTTGTAAATAAAAMRTTTCTGTGCTGCTAAATAGTYGTAAACCCCTCTATCAWACTAGAATGGATGACTCTGGAAGCTGGAAGGGGTGCAGGGTGTGAAGTTTGGATTTAAAGAGACAGCCTCAAAATGAGTTGATCTGAGACACACTGCAGAAAATGGGTGAAGAGGGGCTTGTGGAGTTATAATAAGGATGAATTCAAACCAAAATTTTGCCATTCCACTTAATATAGAMCCCAATTAAATGATTTAAATATGCAAATAAGGATTTTAAAGCATGATATGTCTCCTTTAAACCCTTACAACAAAAAGAAAGATAAATCAGTGTGTGCAATTATTAGGCTTTTTCTGTTTGTTTGGACTGAAACTTTGTTGTTCCCAGTTGAAAAGTCACATTTATGAATCCATCGAACCATTTCCTTAACCCACATTATCCTGTTCAGTCACACCTGAGCAGGTTACAAGACCATTACAGGCCCCATGAACACAGACTAAACACTTAAAATTAGAATCTCCTGTGTCTTCCCTAAATGTTACTCATCATATGAAATTTCTTCATACCATATATTTTCATATGATCCTATAACTTATTTTTATTACAATCATTGCAGAAAGGTTGTAATTTTTATCTAATTGGTTCCAGATTTTCAACACTAGGTGGTGCTGCTCACCCTATTTATTAATAAATGATGGCAAATTGATGCTTCTTCCTTGTTGCAGACATTTTAGGTATGCAAACTTTTTCCTACATTAAGAATTATTCAGTAACAACTTGCTCCCTGATTACAGCATATACAAAAAAAATACAACTTTATCAACTTTATAAATTGGGTTTTGTTTGTCTTTTATGCACAATAACATGGTAGCCTACTTGGTTTTTTATTGATTTGTTGGTTTGTAGGTATGTTGCACATTCCTGATTGCCAATCATACCTGAGCACAGACTTCAACAAAACCAACGTAATCAGCAGCAAACAGCTGCAGGACTGCTGCACACAGCTTTACAACAGGTAAGTGTGCTGTTTGTATTGTTTGGAACAACACATCAAACACTTCTTATTCARTKTGCATACTTTCTTCTGATATCTCAGGGAATAATTGGGAGATAATTGTTGGAATAAATGGTAGTGGATAAAAGACTGAGGGTTCACTGTGATGATGTGTGTGTTTAAATTTCAGTGYGAMAATAAACGAGATGTRGAACGTGACGGTAGGAGGAGGATTSACGAGGAACAGTTTGCGAGGCTGTTGCACACATTCACCCTCGACTCATTTCAACTGCAGCTTGGCCCTTTGAAACACTGCAAAACAAAGTAACTGCAGTTACTGAGTACTTAGTGTTGCATTATTTAAAGTGGTTTATAAATGAGGATTATGTAATAAACACATCATTTTTAATTTCTGATTGAAACTGTATTTACAGACATGAAGTTGAACTTATATTATCTACAAATAGATTATAAAAGTGTAGAATTTTAGTTCGATATCTTTAAAACTGACTGAGTTATAGCCAGTTAGCTATAGATGAACATGCAATGATTACTTTTTAAGTGTTATTTTTTAATCCAATTGTTCTTGAGATAATTATCTTACAAACAATCACATGCTCACATAAATAATCACTCTTTCACCTCTCAATATAACATCTAACAAGATAAACTCAGTATTTCAGTATCCTATGATGTCCAGTGGATGTCACTGTTGACTTTTGGTTTGCCACAATGCAGACCAGGATTCTTCCCCTAACCCAGTCAGGCCAACTGGTTTGACTGGCGGATGGATTTTTACAGGAATGTAGCTCATTACCTCTGACCAACGTGAACACTTCAGTCGGCTCATGGAACAAAAAGGACGGCATGAAGCGTGCAGTCATAGAAACAGCAAATGACGGTGTCTTCAATAAAAAGGCAGCACAAGCAAAAGGTCAGATGGCTCCCTTCTCGGTGGGCAGGAGGTGTGTTCACATGTGTGAATTTCACACACCCACAGAGAGGGAGCATTAAAATCAGCCATCGGAGACTGACACAGGGGCCAGTTTTTTCAGTCTCTGTGGCCTCTGTGAAGAGGGAAAAAAATCATGTTTGAGTTGTCAAAAAATTTTTGATTATGAAGGTAATAAATGAAGCAAACATGATAATATTAGAAAGAAATGATCCCTTTGTGCTCAAGTGACAGCTGAGTTTTTATATAGATATATTTAAAGGTCCAGATCAAAATAATAACACATCATATTATTTAACTTTTTGATGCCAACTCAAAAAATGAATGTTCCCCTAGAAAGACACATGACTAAATATTGTCATCTAGACTCTGCAGATGCTTTTAATGGTGCCACATTTTGTCAAAACACAACAGACGTAATAGAGATGTTCCCCAGAACAAACAAAACGTAAAAGCGATATCGTTTGAACACCGGGTAAATAATTACTTTGAGCAAAATTATAAAACAAAGCATGTTTTTACTGTTCAAATATTCAAAGYGGCCTGTGTGTTCACAGAGCACATGCATTCAGGTACACTAAATGGTGCACTTAAACATCAGTTCAATAAATGTTTTTTTTTTYCTGTTCAGYGTTTCAAAATGAGATCCAGCCTGCCAATCCCCAGTCCATCACAGAGACCTATCGTGAAGACTCACTCCTGAGGTGAATTTAGAGACAAATTACACTAACATCCACATTTTCAGACTGTAAAATAGAAATGAAGTATCCAGAGAAAAACAACTTGGAAGCACGATGGCTCAGTTAGCACTYCTGCCTCAAAGCAAGAAGGTCCTTGCTTCAATCCCCGATTCGGACCGTCTTTCTGTGTGGGGGGTTGGTTTTCTCCAGGTACTGAGGTTTCCACAGACCAAAAACATGTACTGTACAATAGATTGCCTTCAGGCCCAGGCCTCACTTGTAAAACAGATTTACCTGGTGAAAAAAAAAACGTGTTCGCTGCACACATAAAGGCCCGCCCAACCGGAAACTGTCTTTATACTTTAAGTGTTCTTGATTCAAGGTTGGAGAAYCTGTGCATCAGAATTGCGCAGTAGACATTCAAGCATGAAAAGAAAACGCGAGGAAACAAAAGAACAAACAGAAGCAGTGAACAAGCATGAAGAGGTTTAGAACAGTAGATATTGGATTGCMACATAGCACCTCTTCAGTGGATGTAGAGGAGAAGAGAGAAAGACAACAAAGTTGTCATCCATCAGCTTTTCAAGGAGCAGACAAAGAGGTTGGAACGGGGGATGGAGGGCAAAATAAGGAGTGACTGAAAACTGGAGGTATCAGGATTTATGGTCACTGAAACGATTGATAGATAGATAGATAGATAGATAGATAGATAGATAGATAGATAGATAGATAGATAGATAGATAGATAGATAGATAGATAGATAGATAGACTTGTGAAGCTACACAAACATGTCTGTAACTCTTGCACCTAATCACTGTTCCTACTGATATTAACTGCAGCTTTAATTGCTCATTGACTCATAATTATGTGGACGTGTCTATGCACAGAGTGATAAATTAAACAGGAGAATCCCTGACAAATGTGTGCAGACAAAGAAATTATTTGTTAGCTTAATTGTGTCTAATGGTTGTGGGGCATGTTTCTCATCAGAGTATTATGCACAATATAACAGTGATCATGTTCGTCGAATTAGCATAATTTACACAGGTTACAATACACAACTCAGTTTCAATGATAAATATTATGGTTCATCTGGGGGGATATGAGCAAATACAGTCCCGTTAATGTACTTTTTATTTAAATTATTTGTTTAMTATTTAAAAAAATTAACTTAATGATGCACGTTTTCAGCAAAAGGGTTGTTTCATGTTTATCAACAAAGATTTTGTTTTGTAAAATCATTATTCAATAAGTTCTGTTTGATTGTTTCTCTGTACCTCTATTATAATAACTTGTTTCTCAAGGACTTTTCCATTAAATTACAAATTACAATCAAATGCGAGAATTATGTTTTTGCTAATAACTGATTAGAAAATCCCATTATAAGTTCCCAATGTTAAAACTTAATAAGTGCTTGTTTTGTTCAGCTTGTAGTTAAAAGCTTGGTGTAAAAATGTTAAAATCAATAACGTCCTTCAACTATTTAATAGGATTTTAAGGTTGAGTTGTTTGACATTGTTGTTTTAATGGAAGGAATTCTTCAGTTTGAGATTGTTAACCCGGGCCTTTTATAAGGAGTTTGCATGTTCTGCCTGTGCAGGTGTGGGTTTTCTCTGGGTGCTGCAGTTTCTTCCTAAAGTCCAAAAMCATGCATGTTAGGTTAAAAGGAGATTTAGTGCTGCATGCAGGAGTGAGTACGAGCATGAATGGTTGTCTCTGTGATGAAGACCTGATGTACTTCACATTACACCTCCACSCTCCGTGTCCCTGACCGAACTGGTACAGAATGCTCTGTATTCCTGTTATGTATGCTTAGCCTGATGGTTTGTTTGTTTCTATTATTCCTTATTTTCTGGTCGTCCTGCAACACCTAGTCGTGGTTTTCCAATTCTCTCATCTGGCATGTGCCTGTTGTGTTCCACCCTTAGTAAAAAATAGTCCCACTGTTTCATTTACTTGTTCTGATCTTTGTCCTCTTTCCCTGTTGGTTAAACATACCAGGCTCAAGGTTTACATGTATCTGGCTGCACACTAAATAATCAGTTTTACTGGAGTCACCATATCTGAAGCCTGGATTGCATTTGGTCACTCCCCCTCATAATCAGTCACAGCTCGTTGGAATATAATAAAGCAAACACACATGCGTTTCCACCTAATTATATGGAGGGTCTTCATGAAAAAAAAATTTCTTTTTCTTTTGAGCTTTTATAAAAATGTTTAAGATAATTAAATTTTTGATTTTTTTAGTGTGGGTTATATATCTTTTATTGATAGCAAAAGGTTTGGTTGTCCTCCTTTTTTTTTAGTTTAAGCAAAGTTGTTTACTACTACGTTTTGTTTTCAAATTTTATTTGAAAGATCTAAATAGCTAAACTTATTGGCATAATGTGAAGGGTTCTTTTGTATATGCAATATAAAAGTAAGAGTTTTCTAAATGTCTTCCTGACAATACAACAATCAACTCCTAATTCATGAGATCATTATGACCCCCGCACGCGAAGCGGGAGTCATATTGTTTTCATCCGTACGTTTTTGTTTTTTTTCCAGTGATTTTTGGTCAACCGTAGCACAAAAACGGCAGCACCGATCAACATGAAATTTGGCAGGACTGTGGATG